CAGCTCTGTACCGGGTATCTATTATTTAGCTTTTTTTTTTTTTTGAATACATAAGGATCAGCTTGTGCCCTGTTTTGAAGAATCAAACAACATATTTTCAAGTTTATTTAATTATTGCGTTGCATGTAACATTGAATTCATGATATGCCTGTCGTGTATAAAAAGTGATATAAGGCCATTATGTATCGTAGAAAACATTATTTAACTCATTTAACCAAACTGTTCCGTAAAGGGTAAAGTCTTGTTCAGATAAAGATATCAATTTATATAAACATCAACTGGAACAAAAATAACAAAAAAATAACGAATCTTTAGGAAATAGTAACGCTTGTTGCCGTGAATATGATTCATATAGCTCCCATGTAATTACTAATAACTCCAGGACTCCGGTGTCTTAATGGATTTTATCCTAGATAATAATAACACTTTGTTATCATAAACTTACTTCAGACATACATGATCATCACTGATAGAGAATATTAATATCAAATCACAGCTGAGGTGTGCTTGCAGCAACAGTGTTTATTTATAAGTCAGCATCACTAGATTGCTGGTGATGATAACCGGAAATGACTCTATCACTACTCCATGGCAGCCTCCGGTAACATCTATCAGCAGCCATACAATCGAAACTGTTTATCAGTGTTCACCAATCAATGCCTTGAGCGACAACAGTTTGAGCTTCCTCTCCAATGTTTATTTAGAAAAGGTATGAATATTATTTGTGAATATTTTTTCCTTAAACCGTATCTATAACGATATGAGATAGGAGGTTGCGTTTAAGCAGTATTTGATGCAATTGCTCAATAAAAATAAAGCACACTTACAATTATGGAGAGATGCAAAAAAACACATTTAGAGCTATAACAAATAAACCGTTGTTTTTTAAGTTCGAGGAAACTTTTATGTGCGTGTTTAATGTAACTACCAGTTACTAGGGCGAGATTCCAGTGCTCCTACAATGGGTTATTTTTCAGGTTAACACATTCCTTTTCTAACATCGTCCACCATCACGTTTCCGCCTTTGAACTATTAACGGTAGTGTTTATAGACATATCAACGATAGAATGAAATATACCAGAAATTGACATTTATACATGTATGATATATATGTTAAAGGCAAAAAAATAATTTGCATTAAATCATGATGTCAAAATACATCAGGATACTTATTTTAGACACATAATATGTTTTCTCCATGCTTTTTCCATGTAATAAATGATATAACTAACGCGTGATAATACAGTAGTGGAAGATTGAAGATTTCAAGGATATGAAATCTTTTCTTTTCTTTGGTACGTTTTTGTTCTATTCAATTTCCGGTATTCTTTTGAAAGTCAACAGTTAACAAGTGAAATAAAAGTTTTAAGATATATATCGCTTCTCTTCGTGATGAGACATTTGAACAAAAAAATAACGTTTTGATCAGGCTATTTATAAGAAACTGTTGAAATTGATTAACATGGTTTTTAGTGATTTTTACATCGGTACGGTTGTTGTATGGTCAATCCGTAAACCAGACTGTAATAATTTGGGAACATTAGTTGGCCAGTCCATTATCTACATCCCGTAGTGTTCGTTGTCAACACGTGGTGCGATGTAAGATCTATCCACGATAATGGCTTCACAGCGATTGATGTATTGGTAATGTCTGTAGACCCAGCATTCCTCAGCATTCCGACTGTCTGTATAGAGGCGATTAGTATAACAATAAATGTGTGAGACTGCAGTAATTGATGTCGCCATTCAAAGACAGGGATGGGAAGGAATAGCACGTTCAATCAGACAACTTCTCTTCGGTTGTTAGTGTGCTTTCGGATATATGACTTGACATGCAACATCGTTAAGGTGGGTTTACAACTTATTTATTAAAATTTAATATAGATATCTTAGCATATCACCGATAAAACGCTTTGTCTTGACAGGAAACGAATAGGATCACATTTGGACATTAAGGGAAAAGATTAACCACAAGTTTGTTAACTCATTCACCCCTGAAGACACATTTGAACTCTTCTAACTCAAATGTTGGTATAGTTCATTATGAAATTTCAGGGATGAATGAGTTAAACTCAATCTAACGATCAATGGAAAGAATTGTATAAATAAACCTATCTTATTCCATGACAAGATTGCCTCTACAAACATGAAATTCATAACACTCAAACATTTATATACTTTTATCATACAACAGACTTTTGAGTACTAGACAAATATCTATTGTTTGTACGTTTTGTTGTGGTGTTTACTGAGGCTACTAACGTCAACTACTGTATTCTTACCAACAAGGATAATTACGAGTAAACTGACCTGTAAGTTGGCGAGGTATATTTATATTTCGTAAATACAAAAATATCTAAACAGAACAAATTTTACAGATGTAAGTATTTGTCATGTATACATCCCAAGTTACCAGTAGTTGTTCTCTTTATCTTGGATGGTGCATTGATTCCAAACTAAAGCATTAGCGCGAAGGTCAGAACGCCCTGAAGTATCCAAACAGAGATCAGATGTTATCTAAATATACTATTCGACGTTTACAAGAGAAAGGTCTGTATTGGTGTTAGTAGGAACAGTTAGTCAAACTCAGCGGTGGTAAATTTACAGGCATTGTCGAACAAATAGAAGGTTTTTCCTTAATAAAATGGAAATCAAATGTTACCAGTTTTTGAAGACCACCCTTGGAATATGAATATTTTTATCATCAATGACAATGACGGTTGCCCTCATTTTCTCATCACAAAAATCAGAAACCATGCAAGTGGCATAGCTTTGAACCTTATAAAACTAGTGAAATATCGATTGTGAAGTCTATTATTGGAGCTATGCTTCATATTGGACTTTAGAATCTTTCGAACGAAACGAATGCCAGTATAAAATCAAGCAGGGCAGTTCACACTGGAGCTGTAATTACCACCTACAGTTCTGGTCAGTTCACACTGGAGCTGTAATTACCACCTACAGTTCTGGTCAGTTCACACTGGAGCTGTAATTACCACCTACAGTTCTGGTCAGTTCACACTGGAGCTGTAATTACCACCTACAGTTCTGGTCAGTTCACACTGGAGCTGTAATTACCACCTACAGTTCTGGTCAGTTCACACTGGAGCTGTAATTACCACCTACAGTTCTGGTCAGTTCACACTGGAGCTGTAATTACCACCTACAGTTCTGGTCAGTTCACACTGGAGCTGTAATTACCACCTACAGTTCTGGTCAGTTCACACTGGAGCTGTAATTACCACCTACAGTTCTGGTCAGTTCACACTGGAGCTGTAATTACCACCTACAGTTCTGGTCAGTTCACACTGGAGCTGTAATTACCACCTACAGTTCTGGTCAGTTCACACTGGAGCTGTAATTACCACCTACAGTTCTGGTCAGTTCACACTGGAGCTGTAATTACCACCTACAGTTCTGGTCAGTTCACACTGGAGCTGTAATTACCACCTACAGTTCTGGTCCTGACGTTGCGTCGTAGTACTTGACAACGGTTTATGTTTTACAAAACCATTCACAATTCTTCTTAATGAACACATTAACGGTGATATAATCTGATACGATGCAGTTGATGTACCCTCCGTTTACAGAATTTGAAGTAAACGTGTTTTATTGCTAAATATAAAGGAAGATTTTTTTTTGATTTTTTGCCTGCACTATACTTCCTCTCTTATTTTCATATTCACTCCAAAAACTTTCGAACTACTCGCATGCTTCATCAACGTTAAGGTATATCTAATCGTTACATTACTTTAGTGCCATGATACAGCGTCGTGATGCAAAATCTTTGCAAAAGTAATGCTGACGTTTTTCGTCGATAAATAGTTATGCGTGTTTTCCACAGAAGTTCCATCATAAACCAATGCATAGTCAGGTAATTAACTGATTAGAAAGCATGCATTTGTTAACTGCATAATACAAAATTGACTCTATCATAGCTTAGTACATGTTTGTGTAGTTGATTTTATGAACCTTACATAATCTGCATTGTCTGTATAGTCTTATGTAAATATCTGTCTCTCGTTAGAATTTTCTTTTATAATATTAAGATATTTCCATGTACAAATGTCTTTAACATGTATAGGTTTAACTTGATAAGAGTTGCAATCTTATTCTTTTTGAAGATTTTACTTTGATCCCAACTGGAACGAATGTATCCCTGCACGGAAGTCGAGATAAAATAGGCTAACATTAATATAGTTTAGAAGTTATGATTAGATCATGTAAAACTGATGACGTCAGAGGTAGTAGAACTCTCTTTCACAAAGAGTTTTAACTATCTCGCATGTAGACGTTCAGGTAATCTTATTTAAGGTAGATCTCCCCACAATGAGTTACGTTCGAAAATAAGTAAGAAAGTAAAGTAAACCACGTGATTTCCAGTGTTACAGTACCTTTCGAACTACGGTATCTAAAGCATATGAATCATCGGAAAAAATGGCTTGGGGATGGACAAATGTGCCTTATTTTTCTGATAAAAAATAACTCTTCAAAACAATATCCTAAAATCGTCTTGGGGACGGAGAGGCCATACACAGTTCAGATTTTAGTGATATTTACTTCACCGTGATATAGTTAGGTCCCTCGTGGGTTCTGTGTGACACTATCACGATGTCATAATTCCCTAACAGACCTGCGTGAGGACACCACGGTATTATAAAGTGTAGTATGTACCGGGCGATTCCTTTGTGACTATACAACAGATAAAGAAAACTTGTCGTACATAATCACATGTATTTGGAGACAGCATAACAAAACAAGTTTGGCAATGACATTTCTTTTTCTTTAAACTCCTTAATATAATGAATGCTTTTATCATGTCAGACTTTTCAAATGTTTTTCAGTGGGTATGCCTGTATTCATAAATCAGATTGCCATTCTCATCCAATGCACATATACATGTAAGTAAACACCCTTTAAATATCTAAATACCTATTTTTTAACACACATTGCTCAACCATTAAAGGCACGTCTAACGTACAACCTGATGATTATTCCAGGTTGGAGTAAACACAAACAGATGATTTGTACGAGTCATGGTGATGATGACGTACCGAAATCACTGCACAGGACAGAATAGATGGTTAGAATCAGTTGATAGACACATATAGTTCAGGCCTAACTGTAAGTACATTTTCATACAATATTTTGTCTTCGATGTTTATTTATGCCACTTTTATGAAATATCATATGTTTATTTTGCATGTCTGACCATTAAGTAGCCAGATTCGTTTTGAATAGTTTGGTGCATTTATGAGTGTATTTGTACACACGGCAGTGAGTGAAATGAGGAGTGGATACGGATATTATAATATGTCAAATACATGTCCCCGGCACCTGTGTATTTATGTATATGTTTTACCCCTATAAGTAATAGGGTTATACAGTAATCCCTTAGTTCGTGCGTCTTTGTGTGCGTCCGTCCGTCAGTTCGTCCGTAGTAAAAAGCCTGTGTACACGATTTCTCATTAACTCCTGGACACGTTTAGTTGATAATTACACCATAGCATGGTAATATCAAGTTCTATACCTGATTAGATATTTTGGTTGTTCAGTAAGTTTACTTGTTCAAAGGCCATGGGCAAAGATCACACTTGATCATTTTTTAAGTAAAAAGCGTGTGTACAAGATAAACCTCCTAACAAATTGAGTTTGAATGTACACAATGGTATAGTTAGATTGAGTTCTACACATGAATATATGTTGGAGTCATCGTTCAAGGTAAAAACATTAAAGGGCACGGGCAAATACGATCTGATTATAGTGAAAAAGCTTGTGAACACGATATCTCATAAACCCACGAACAGGTTTAGTTTTAACTTGCATCATACAGAATGGTAACATTGAGTTGTAGATTTTGTTTGGTATAGGTCCAGGTAAAGGGTTCAGAGTCACTTATGGGGGGAGGACTGTGGTGGTGTGGTAGGGCGTAGTATTTCTATTTTGTTTTTAGTATTGTATATATGTATCACTGCACCCGTGTGACGCTATAACTGTATCAAAATATGTTCCATACGGCACCTGTTAAACAATGTCGTCATAACATTGCCAACACTACACATGTGTGACAATCTGGTAGGCAGATGTGTTCATAAAATAAGGTTTATTAAAAATATTCCGTGCATATGAATTCGAAATGATTCAATTTATTTCTGTTTTTGACATAGACTAGGTACCGCATACATTCATTGTATAAGCTGAAGTTACCACGTATTCTATGGAGTAGGTCTGCATGCAATTATAATTCAAATAGCCATTATCTTCTCTTACAATAATCAGTGAATACGTTTCAAACGATTGTACACAGAACTTGTACCTAAAGAATGAACAAATCTGGCACAAATTAACTTCCACCCAACCGTTCTTGACATTTACGAAATTTGACAAATATGACTCACAGCCAGAAACGCTGGACAGTGCGGAGTTTTATAAATGTAATGAATACCCAATGATTGGAATGATTTGAGGTAAAGTCATTCGTTAATATTCATCAACGACCAATCCGATACATGTCACTATAACAATAGAGGGTCACAGAACCGTAGTTGATAGAGACTTAACGACACGAACCGTAGACGTGTCGTATTACCGGCGCTATGGAAATACATGTTTTATTCATGAAACCCCCCAAAAGAGTTGTACGTTCCTGTCAAGTGCAATTTGATAAGACAACAATACGATATGACGTGTATCGATACCTACCCTCCCGTAGCATACCATACGATTTATGTTGAAGTATCGTATAAGAGAAAGCTATGTTCAAAAATAAAATACTAGCCAGTTCTAATCAACATATTTGGCAGAACCCAACTAAAGGTTGTTATCAGTTGTTTCATGTGATCATTTAAGCTAAAAACCGGTGGAGTTTTACACATCTATGTTGTTTTTTTTATATTTTAAAGCTATTTCTTTTCGACGAACAACTCCCTATGTTTAGAGCTTTGAAAAGAAATCTCGGAGTATGATGATTACTTCAGGAAATTGATGTCATCAAGTGATATCCTCACCAGATCTTAACTGTATACTTATCACTACTCAGCACTACTCTCACAAGTACTCAACAATACCTACACATCGATACGTATATACTCGACTATGTACAGACCTGCACTCTGTAATTCTAATCAGTGAACTAACACAGCTCAACCATGTACTCACCATACTCAGTTTGATACTCACCAATACTTAACAATAAACTCACAATTACTCAGTTTGATACTCACCAATACTTAACAATAAACTCACAATTACTCAGTTTGATACTCACCAATACTTAACAATAAACTCACAATGAATCACTTTGATACTCACAAATACTTGAAAATAAACTCACATTTACTCACTTTGATACTCACCAATACTTAACAATAAACTCACAATTACTCAGTTTGATACTCACCAATACTTAACAATAAACTCACAATTACTCAGTTTCATACTCACCAATACTTAACAATAAACTCACAACTACTCAGTTTCATACTCACCAATACTTAACAATTAACTCACAATTACTTAGTTAAAAACTCATAAGTTCTCAGTTATATACTCAACAGTACTCAACAATAAACTTGCAATACTTAAATTAAATGCTGACCAGTACTTACTTGTGATATAACAGTTTTATGTTCTAAATAATATCGGCGGCACTCCATTATTGTAACTGAAGTAGGAACTAATATGAACGACGCATGCTACGTGTTATGTTCACACAATGATTTATGGAATTCGGGAGTTGGAAATCATACGGATGTGTAGTCACCGTTAGATTATATCCATAGTGGTCATGACCTACTTTTATTTATCCCATGGTCGTTGACTTTCCTTTCCTCATTAGCAGCATACCAGCGTCAATGTGTATGTAGTTTAGATGTCACAGCTGTCTCGCTACTTCAAGGACATTTAGATGTCACAGCTGTCTCGCTACTTCAAGGACATGCTTTAGGAATCAGCATTAGATATCTAGCTTTAAATGCGCCATGTTGATTGGTTAAATGTTAAGCCAGATTATTTTAAACAACGCTGAAAAAACTCTACAGCAATAACCAAGATCTGCATTCCGATGTCTACTACCTATTACATACCCTGTCCCATATTTTCCTGGATTTAAAAGGGTATCATGACAGGTTATATGGAGTATCGGCCTTTGTCGTGTTCGATTCAATACTCCGAATCTGACATTCATTCCTGACAATGGGATATTCTTTTGATGAACAAACTATACCATTTATCTACAGACTATTGCCTCTGAGCTATATTATATGATGACTAGCGTTAACTTTGATTTAAAATATAAACTTCAGGATAATAATAGGATATTGCTATGTATGTTACATTTTCAGGCGAAACGGCTGTAAGTGCAAATCATCCCTCTGACATGTTCTTAGCCTCCAACTTTTTCTGATACGCTAATTTGTTTACAAATTCAAAAGAACCTTTGTTGAGAGAATAATAATCACGTTTATCTGAGCTTGCGCTAACCTTTTGATCGTACAAATGGCAACTAAATTGGAATGTGCTAATTAGGGTATATATTTGTTCATAATATTAATACAAGTTTGATAGATATTGAAACAGAGAAAACATTGATATGATGCTTTATTTTTATATCGAAAATGAATTGATAATCAATTACCCGTACTTCATATTCCGCTATCGCAAAACTATGTTTATCGCATGTGTTTGTAATAAGCAAACATAAAACCTGTTTGATAAATGACCACCCTGTTCAAAAAGGTGTTTATCAAATATTAGCTTCGAATGGTCGTTTTAATAGATTATTAAAGTAGGGTTAGGATAAATATAGTAAACATGAGATGAACACGACCGAAATTCCTATTCCGTCTTTGCTTATTGCAGAGTTATCTTCTCTTGGGAGCAGGTATTGATTGTTACGTCACTTGTTTGTGAGAGTAACGTCATCAATTTTTGAGAAAACGACGCAATTTTCTCACACAAACCAATGACGCAACAATTAATCCCTGCCCCCAAGAGAAGATAACTCTGCAATACGCAAAGACGGAATAGTTCAGTTACGTACAGTGCCAACATGCTTCACATGTTTATGTGTCATGTGTAAAGAAAACGAAGAGACGATGGTTATTAATGTTGAGCTACGAATATTAATGCTACTCTGTGTATTGATATGTGTTATGCTGTCCGGCTTTATGCATGTGTTTGCAAGTATGCTATAAATTTTAAAAAATTCAATTTATTACAGGCTTTGCTATTTAATCAGAGGTGGAGCCTAAATCTCGTTAACTTGACGTGATAAAGAAAGTAACAAGGACTAACTAAAGGAAAAGATAAATTTCTAAAATAATTGTCAAAGGACAAATCAATATACGGCGGTAACGACTCATCATATAAGGTTTCAGGATAATAAAATGTACTTCGTCTGAGATTCAGTGTTTCCTGTTCACTACAATCACACTTTAAGAAATACATCAATATCTTTCTTGTAGTCAGGGTTATTGTCATAACTTCAAGTTTTTTCGAGAGAAAACAAAACACATTTCTAAGACGTAAGTATCAGTGTCAATGACCAAGGTTGGAAGTACAGATTTGTTTATAAAAAACAAAACCCATATTTGGCTGTCACTAGAGTCATGGTATAATTCAGGAAAGCACTCCCTGCCACAGAAGTATATGTTAAGGGGATTTACATAACCTTGTTTATTAGCCATTCTCTGACGTCAGTTGAAAAGAATACTGAATTGAAAGTAATGGCGACATCAATATTCAAGACGTTCGTGTATTTAGAGGCACGTATTTATAAAGTGAGTGTGTATTGTAATTCATGAATTGAGTTTTTAAAGTCGATACAAGAAACTTTAAGAAACAAATAGTATGTCGTCGTTATTCAGGAGGTATACGTAAGTGTTTTCCTGGATATGGCCCACACCCTTATGTCGAATCCAGGAGACAGTGTAGATCACCACCAATATAAAACACAGTTAGTGGTATGTTGTCGTTATACAGGAGGTATACGTAAGTGTTTTCCTAGATGTGGCCCACACCCTGATGTCGAGTCCAGGAGACAGTGTAGATCACCACCAATATAAAACACAGTTAATATTATAGTCGTAGTAGACAATGAAATTCTTTAACGAAAATCAGATCAT